TCTTCCACTCTGCTCTCTGCAGATTATCTCTGTTTCAGGCTTGTAGAAGTCTCATTTCATGGCAGATTTTTTGGCTACCCAAAATTCTTGTACCCTCAAAGATGAGAAGCAAGAAGAAGAGCACCAAGAAACCCACGAAAGTTCCTAGAAGTGGTCTCTATCCTTCCCAAAGACAAAGGATGGATAAGTGAACATGTCCATCACTACCAAGGCTTTTGGTTTCCGCCATCATCGCTTCAAGGAGTCATAAACCTCCAGAAAAGTTTCGAGGTTCGACCCACCGATGTTTTCTTGGCCACCATACCAAAATCCGGTACTACTTGGATTAAGGCCCTTCTCTTTACCATAATGAATCGAAACCTTTATGATTATCATGACCACCCTTTGCTCACGGCTAACCCCCACAGCCATGTGCCCTTTTTGGAGCTGTACGCGAGTGAGAACCCAAATAAGAGGCCCAACCTTTCTCTGTTTTCCATTCACATGCCTTATACCGTTCTTCCGGAGTCAATATTAGTCTCGGGTTCTCGCATTGTTTGTGTATCGAGACCCAAAAGACGTGTTTGTTTTTATGTGGCATTTTGTCTGCAAGTTGAGATCCAAGGAACTTCCACCCTTAGTTCTAGAAGGGGCATTTGAGCAGTTTTGCAGGGGAATTTCACCATTTGAACCATTTTGGGATCACGTTCTTGTGTATTGGAAAGCAAGCTTAGAATGGCCAGATAGAGTGTTGTTCGTAAAATATGAGGACATGAAGAATGACCCAATACTTCATGCAAAGAGATTGGGTGAGTTCATAGGCTACCCTTTTTCCTTAAAGGAAGAAAATGAAGGTGTAATACACAAAGTATTAGAGCTGTGTAGTTTTGAGAAATTGAGTAACTTGGAGGTGAATAAGAACGGATCAGCCCCCATGGTCTCGGGCTTGGTGGTAGAGAGCAAAATATTTTTCAGGCAAGGCAAGATTGCAGACGGGAAGAACTTGCTAACGGCTGAGATGTTGGAGCAGATAGATGGAACCATAGAGCAGAGATTAAAGGATTTGGTCACTATCTGTGTGCGGTTGAGAGGTGTTTGTGCTCAGAGTCAAGTTTTTTTTCCTTTTTTTTTTTTACTTTGATTTAGCTGTCAGGTTGCTTTTGGATGATCTCCTAATAATATCATTGGCCTACTTCTTGTTGTTCTTGTGATAAAATGATTGCTCAAGTCTGCACACTTTAATCTATACAAGTTAGAATGTAGCTCTTGGACTTCAAATGACAAACTCGAGGGATCAATGGTACAATTTATCTTTATTATAACTGTAATTCTTGTACTTCTTTATTAAGGTTAGATAACCTTATATTCTTAAGCTAATGAATTAAATCAATTTTCTAGGGCTCAAAAAATATTACTCTGTATAAGTATACTATACACAGAACCCATTCTTGTTTAGGAGTAGAGTCAGAAATTTTGTTTAGGGTGAACACCAGCCCAACTCCTCTCTCACACACAAATCAATCACCCCCGACTCACTGCATGGACTCCTCACCGACCACCGAACAAGCCCCAACTGTAGACTCAGCAAATCAAATGTTATCTACTCCATTTCACTTCCTGAAATATGTAATAATGCATTTTTGTGCGAATTTGTTATCACGATATAGGTTTTGTCTTGCGAAATGTGTAAGTAATATTAATGGAGCTTTCGTGCGTATCTAGAATGCTAAGAACGAAAAGGTATTGTGCTGGGATGATGGTGATTTTATTGTGTGTGTTATTAAGAATCCATGAACAACGAAACTACAGTGTTCGTTGTGTGTGTGTGTGAGAGAGAGAGAGAGAGAGACAGAGGGGGAGAGAGAGCGAGAGAGAGACAAGTGGGCTGGAGGTGGGTAGGGGAAGTAGAGCTAGGTGGCGGGACCTGTGTGTTTGAAAAGAACATAACGGTTAATATTTCTTAGCTGTGCTGTCAGCTATTCATTGGATGCCTGTAAACCATGTGTTTCACAAGCCATCCGCGAATAACTTAATCCCTATTCATATATACACACATGCATATTCTTATCCCTTGCCTTACAATTTTAAAATACTAATAATTATCCGTACTTGAAGACAATATATAACACTAAAAAATATCACTATTTAATAAAAATTATTTTAGCAAAAATATTTCTTTGCTTTTCTTTAATTACATAATTTAAAAACAATTTGGGTCCATTTTCTGTTTAAAATTTTCAATAGGATCTTAGAAAAATAGTAACCAATAAAACATTTTATAGGCTCAATAAAACAAAATAAAATAAAAATTGAACTTTTTATGGGTTATTTTTTTGCCACAATTTATACCATCCAACAAAATTGATCCCCCAAGCACAACAATATGATATTCTAGTAGCACTTATATCCTAGGAATAAAACACCACAACTGGTACCAACCACCTAAATAAACATCACAACTTCGAGTGTCATCCCCATTTTAAAATACCAACATGATAAAACTAATTATGACATTTAAACATAATCTCCTAAACATAAGTGGTTTCAAACACACTGTTTAATTTCAACAAATAACAAACCTTGAAAATAGTTGAGTTAAACTAATCATAGAAATTCAATTGAAGTATACTCAAATTAGTGTTAATACAACTTAAGAATTTAATCTCAAATTGAAAGAGCCCTAAAATACCCAAAACATAATTTAACTTAAAGTCATTATTTAGTTTCGATACAAACATACTTAGTCATAAGAGAAAATCACCAAAAATTATCGACGAATTTGATGATGACATGAGTGGGTCAATCAAAGACAACCTGTAAAATTGAAACCAAATTTGAAAGCGTTAGCAAATAGTAATAGGCACCATGAATTAAAAAAATATAGTAACAGACATGATAAATTTGACAAATTGAATGCATAAGACACAATGAGTAAGAGAAATGGTAGTAGATCTGGCAAATTAGAAAAATAGAAGACACTGATAAATTGAATACATTAGATACCATGAAGTTCTCTCAAAAATTTCAACTTGTGTTTTGTTCAGGCATAAAAAATCTCAGTGTGTGTAGGGATGTGCAAGAGTAATGTCTCCAACTTTATGACAAAGTTTGTTTGACAAGTTGTTCGATACCACCGAAGCATCGATTTTTTTGGGTCATAGTGATTGTTGACAATAGAATAAACAAATTATAGAGAACTCATTCGCAACACAAAACTTTGGAAACGCCAGAATAAAAAAGCCAAACCCAAGTAGTCGATTTTTTTATCATAAGTGTGGAATTTCTTTTGGAGGGCAATAAAAAGGAGAGCATTAGAAATATAACTCTCGAAGGAGTGCATGACAGTGGATCTTTTGATCCTGGGCTCTATGTCGAGCACCTTCGATGTGTCCTCTGTGTGTGTTGAGCAACGGAGAGAGATAGAAGCAGGGAGACCAACACCGTATGTTGATATGAACCTACAACTTATTTGACATCAAACAACATAGTTAATTACCTGCAATTTCAATTGATGCACCTATAGGACAACTATTTTCCATGTTCCAACTTCTGTAGAAATATAACTCTAGAGGGAGTGCATGGCGGTGGATTTTTTGATCTTGGGCTCTATGTCGAACACCTTTAATATGTACTCTGTTTGTGTTGAGCAGCAAATAGAGATAGAAATAGTGAGACCAACACCATAAATTGATATGCACCTATAACTTATTTGCCATCAAATAACCCAGTTTATTACTTGCAATTTCAATTGATGCACCTATAGGACAGCTATTTTCCATGTTCCAACTTCAGAAATCTCTATTGATATTCTGCTTGCAAATATAATTAAAAAAAAATAAAAGAGTAAGAAGATAGAGACATGAGTTTGAAGTACAATGAGAGTTTAAATAGGCCTCAAACAATTAGGTACCAACAATGTAGTGGTAATGGACATTTAAACCACTAAAAATTAAACTGCAGCCAAATCAAGACCAACAAAAAATAGACACTAAAGATATCCAAGAAATGAACATTAGAGGAGTAGAGAGGGATAGTGAGACTAACGTCAACAGAGTAAATCAATGTGGATTCTCAAATTCTGTGGAGAGTGCTTAGTAACCCCAAAACAATATTGTCATACGATCCAATAACTTCAACTGCCAACAATTTGCGTGAACCTAAATGAAAACCAACCACAGTGGGTAAGTGGTGATATCACACTCTCTCAATGCTCCCTCTACACCCAAATCAAAAAATTTTCAGATGAAAAATAAAATACACACACACACAGGTGACTAGACAGAAAGGCTTCAAGTTTATCTTGCAATAGGAGCACAATGACAACCCACGGTAAATGTCCTGCGATGAGGAAAAAAAACAGCTAAACATGTAAGCAAACTCAATTACACAATGAAATTCATAAAATTCATAAAAAATTTACCAAATTTATCAAATCCAAAGACAACAAATTTATCAAAATTTCAAAATTATTCAATAAACCAACCAGAAAAAATTGGCAAAAAATCCACTAAACTCATATATTGAAATCTACAAATGCATCGAACAAGCAAAATGATAGACGATGTTGGGTTTGGCAGAAAAATTGAACGCTTGAACATTTTTTAATCTTTGAGGTAATTAAACAAACACATGGTGGCACAAAGAAAACTGAACAATGGAGCATTGGAAAAATTTAACAAACATGTCGAAGTTATAAAAAATTGAAGAGAGATTCCAAACAGATTCTCAACAAATTAATAACCCATACTTACTATATCAGTCAAAGGAGCTCGATGGTATAGGGAAATCAAAACCACAGCGGCAGTCGATGGTCACGGTAAGTGCTTTTTGAAGCCACAATCCATTTTTTGGTGGCAGAAGAAAATGAAAAAAAAAAAAAAAAGGCATAGGAAATAACGGTGGTTGGGGTAGTGAATGGGAGGCGTGGTGTGTGTATATCCTGTGTGTTGTGGCCATCTCATGTGAGTGGTGTGCATTGTGTGTGATGTGCAATCAGCGAAGAGACAATGAAGTAGAGAGTNCGTCAACAGAGTAAATCAATGTGGATTCTCAAATTCTGTGGAGAGTGCTTAGTAACCCCAAAACAATATTGTCATACGATCCAATAACTTCAACTGCCAACAATTTGCGTGAACCTAAATGAAAACCAACCACAGTGGGTAAGTGGTGATATCACACTCTCTCAATGCTCCCTCTACACCCAAATCAAAAAATTTTCAGATGAAAAATAAAATACACACACACACAGGTGACTAGACAGAAAGGCTTCAAGTTTATCTTGCAATAGGAGCACAATGACAACCCACGGTAAATGTCCTGCGATGAGGAAAAAAAACAGCTAAACATGTAAGCAAACTCAATTACACAATGAAATTCATAAAATTCATAAAAAATTTACCAAATTTATCAAATCCAAAGACAACAAATTTATCAAAATTTCAAAATTATTCAATAAACCAACCAGAAAAAATTGGCAAAAAATCCACTAAACTCATATATTGAAATCTACAAATGCATCGAACAAGCAAAATGATAGACGATGTTGGGTTTGGCAGAAAAATTGAACGCTTGAACATTTTTTAATCTTTGAGGTAATTAAACAAACACATGGTGGCACAAAGAAAACTGAACAATGGAGCATTGGAAAAATTTAACAAACATGTCGAAGTTATAAAAAATTGAAGAGAGATTCCAAACAGATTCTCAACAAATTAATAACCCATACTTACTATATCAGTCAAAGGAGCTCGATGGTATAGGGAAATCAAAACCACAGCGGCAGTCGATGGTCACGGTAAGTGCTTTTTGAAGCCACAATCCATTTTTTGGTGGCAGAAGAAAATGAAAAAAAAAAAAAAAAGGCATAGGAAATAACGGTGGTTGGGGTAGTGAATGGGAGGCGTGGTGTGTGTATATCCTGTGTGTTGTGGCCATCTCATGTGAGTGGTGTGCATTGTGTGTGATGTGCAATCAGCGAAGAGACAATGAAGTAGAGAGTTGTGCCTTGCCTATTGGGAAAAAGAGCAGTAGTCAGAGAGAGAGAGAGAGAGAGAGATAAATTTGATAATAAACAAATCATATTTTGAAAATAAATTTGATAATACATTTTAACCACAAATCATATTCTGAAAAGCCAAATCATATCCTATACATGCATTTTTGGTGTTTTTCTTTCTACGTTGATGTATACATTTTAACCTTGGGTTCTATTAAAACACAAGCATTCATCCAACCGAGAACAAAATCTAACCAACAACAACAACAAATAAATCACAGAAAAAATTTAATGGTTGAAGGGTTGTAAAAATCTTAGGCATCCATCTAACCAACAACAAAATCTGTCATCAAGTCTTTGGGGCTGAATACAATTTATGATGTGGGGGATTATGTTCCTCTAAATTATGACTAAATCGTTCACTTGTGGAAGCTACCAGATGCAGTGATTTACCCAAATTATGCCAATTTTGTAATGACAAACCACAACAATCTCAATCTTCTAAAATTCAGAAAATATTTAAGCTAGAAGTAATGTGCAACATTTTCAAACTGGTTAAAATCTAGGCTTTAAAAAATGGCAGTGAAGGCTTGTGTACTGCAATACATTGTACACACGGAACAAATGCCCTTGAAAGAAAAATGATTCCTATAGATCTATTGACTTAAAATCTGTCTCTGGCTATTCTCGGTGTCGATTGCATTCAAAAATGCCATGTACGACACTCTGTGTAATCATTTGAGATCAATATGAGCAAAGCACACCATCAAAACACATCCAATGCTTCTCATTTTCATGCTTCTACCCACTACAGCAGTGGATCTAAAGAAAAATGGAACCCCTAAAATACCAATAGAAACAACAATGTTAAACCCGTTGATGTAGGTTTTGGCTTGTAAACTCATCAGAACAGGTATATTTTCACGCAATTGAGCAAAACTCAGTAACCCATCTACCCACAAAGGTGTAACAAAGAAAAGTGATAATAAGTCAACAGCCACAATCAGTACAGTTCCAACATGTAGAAATAGTTCAAACAACTTAAACTGAACAGAGAAGTAGAAAAGGGCCCGATTGCAACACAATCATTAGTGATTCTCTTTCCCAAAACACAAAAAACATGGTTTTCAAAATTCGAGCAGAAACACATCAACATAGAAAGAAAAACACCAAAAATGCATGTATAGGTACAAAATTTGATAAGATGGGTTGGATAAAATCCTCTAATTACACCTAAAAGCACCATGCGTGTGTGTATTAACGAATGTGGGTATTTTTCTTCTCTTTGGCGTTTCGTCAATCACCGAGTATGCATTAGTGGGTGGTGGCAGTAATGGCTCTGTCGCTGCTGGCTATATCAATAAGAAATTTAATCTCAGAATTTGGCATAAACACACACACGCATAGTGCTTCAGCGTCACTTTCAGAACAGATATATTTTCACCCAAACGTGCAAAACTCACTAACCTATATACCCACAAAGGTGTAACAAAGAAAATTGATAATAAGTCAACAGCTACAATCAGTACAGTTCCAACATCTAGAAATAGTTCAAACAACTTAAATTGAACAAAGAAGTAGAAAAAGGGCTCGATTGCAACACAACCAATAATGATTCTCTTTCCCTAAACACAAAAAACATGGTTTTCAGAATTTGAGCAAAAACACATCAACATAGAAAGAAAAACACCAAACATGCATGTATAGGTACAAATTTTAATAAGAAGGGTTGGATAAAATCCTCTAATTACACCTAAAAGCACTGTGTGTGTTTGTATTAACGAATGTGGGTATTTTTATTCTCTTTGGCGTTCTGTCAATCATCTAGTATGCATTAGTGGGTGGTGGTAGTAATGGCTATGTCGCTGCTGGCTGTATCATTAAGAAATTCAATCTTAGAATTTGGCATAAACACACACACGCAAAGTGCTTCAGCGTCACTTTCATTTGCAGCTACTATTGACAGAGAAAGAGAACAAACACAAAGAGAGAGTGTGTGAGTGAATTAGTGAGTGAGAGAAAAATTTGTACTGGGCAGCGGCGTTGGCTGGACTGTGACTTCGTTGGTGGAGGATAAGCAGCGAGACAGAGATTGGGAGAAGATTTGAGATCGAGAGAAATGAGATTGAGATGGATGCGAGAGATTTTGGGGATGAGTTTGGAAAGACATGAATAGAAGCGTGAGAGAGACGTGAGAGAGAGACGTGAGAGAGAATCTTGAGTTAGGCGGTGGAAAAATAAAATCTAATACTTACTATAGATCGTTAGATCATAATTTTTGAGATGATCTGAACTGTCTATTATGTTAGGATTATATTGTCCGATGAATATATTTATATTTTGTCTCAAAATGATCTGAATTTTTTTTTGTCTTCAAAATTCAAACTCAACTCTACTTTATTATATTGATAAAATTCAAGGAAAGATAAAGTGATACACGATAAGGACAAGAATATAAAATTGATACAATCCTAAAGCATCAGAAAATGTATCAAGTGACCATGGGCAACTGCCCTAATACCATAGGATTATCTACGTTATCACTTCTCGTCAAATTGGGTCGAAGACAAAGACCCAATTTGATGCGTAGATCACAAAATGGTGTTCATGCAAGAGGCTTAGCAACAATGTCAGCTAGTTGACGAATCAAAGGAACAAACCCACTAACTAATGATCCCAGAGCAACATTCTCACAGACATAAGGGAAATGTAGCGCAATACGCTTGCTGCGACCATCAAAGACTAGTTTGCAAGTCATGCAAATGGCACTCAAATTATCACAAAAAAGAACAAGAGGTTTGTACAATGGAACTCCTACATCACGTAGGATAAATGAAAGCCATGTTAACTCAAGCGTGATAGAAGAAAGAGCGTGATATTCAGTATCTACGCTTGAAAGAGCGACTAAACTTTGATTCTTTGAACGCCATGAAATGTAATTACCACCAAGGAATATACAAAAACCAGTTGTCCAGTGGCATGTGATTGTGCAACCACCCCAATCTGCATAGCAAAGGCATAAAGTTCAAAGGAACTCTGACATGAGATTGTCTTGCTGAGATCCACCATACCGCTGATATAGCGAAGTATGCACTTAACAATCGGGTAGTGACCCATAGCAAAAGCATGCATAAATCGACACACAAAATTGACACTATAAGAAATGTCTGATCTAGTAAATCTTCGATATTGAAAAGCTCTAACAGTACTCCTATATTTTGATGGGTTTGGAAAAAGATCATCATCAGATGCAATTTTTTGATCCTTGTCAACCATAGGAGTAAAAATAGACTTGCAATCATGCATCTGGAAGCGAGTGAGCAAGTTACGTGCAAATTTAGCTTGGCAAAGAGACAAGCCATTTGGAAGACGATGGACCTCAATGCCCAGGAAAAATGGATAAAACCAAGATCTTTAATAGCAAATTCAGTTCCAAGCTGCACAACAAATCAATCTAAATTATCTTTGTTATCTCTAGTCAAAATCATGTCATCCACATAGATGAGAAGAATAAGTGTACCACAAGAAGAAGGACAAATAAATAAGGAAGGATTGCCGAGCTACAAAAGAAACCCATATTGAGTAAAAAGGTGCTCGAACAATCAAACCAAGCGCACACAACTTGTTTGAGTCCATAAAGTGCCTTTGTAAGATGACAAACACGTGTAGGATAAAGAGAGTCTTTGAACCCCAGGGGTTGATCCATGAAAACTGGTTCATCCAAAATCCGTGAAGAAAAGTATTCTTCACATCTAATTGACATATATCCCATCCTTTAACCATTGCAATACTAAGCACAATACAGATACTACCAGGCTTGACCATAGGGGAAAATGTTTCAGAAAAATCTACTCCTTTGACCTAATTAAATCTTTTTGCAACCAATTGGGCCTTAATACAGTCCAAGCTTCCATTAGGTTTTAATTTGTTCTTAAATACCCATTTACACCAGACGACATTCATGGAGGAGGTCCATGGTACAAGCTCCCAAGTGTAATTAGCTTTTAGTGGTGCAATTTCATCCTCTATGGTTGTCAACCAGCCTTGGTGTCAAAAAACAGATTTAACTAACTTTGGTTCCTGTGGTATCAAAGCATTATGAACCCCAACATAACGGGAATTAGGTGTGGTGATGCCTCACATATATAGATCGCGTGATCATAGGATGTTGCCGTATTATGGGTGCTTCTTTGTCACTTCTATCCATAGAAGTGACGCTTGGAGATAAAATAATAGGCTGAGGTTGTGCTTCAGAGATAGTGGCAGAATTAGGCGACTCTTCTATTAGAATCTTGGATTCACTATTGGTGAGAATATGTATGATGCTTGTTGGTGGAAATGAATCGATGGGCTGTGTTTGAGTATGACCAGCACCATTAGATGGTGGGTCAACCACTCTAGCCACATCATCCACTCTTTTTGGTGCAGCATGAACTGCTCAAGTGAGTGGAAGGGTACATGAGTCATATATGTTAGGCAAACTATTTGTTTCCCTTGCATTGACATAAAAAGTTTCATTAGTAATTTTTGGACCAACATTAGAATTTTCATTAGATTGCCCAAACCATTCTTGAAAGGTAGATAACTCTTCCATTGTCTTGGTTGGTTTATAAAGTAAAGCCGGATCTACACAAAGAAAAATGGACTCATCAAATACCACATGTCGTGAAACAAATACACGTCAAGGAAAGGACAACATTTGCAATCGAGAATACGAAGAGCAGAATATTCTAGTTGTTTCCCAATTAGATTAGGGGTTGGTGAGTCCATATTGAGTACAAGTGAAGGTAACCTATTTATTAAGTAAACATCACTTACAAAGCAATCAACCCAATATCTTTTTGGAATATTAGCATGAAACATCATAATTAATCCAAGTTCTGGAATATTTTCGCGTTTACGCTTTGCCATGCTATTCTAAGATGGGTTCCCAGACAAGAGGATTGGTGGTGAATGCCATGTGTATTCAAATATTCATGAAATTTGTTGTCAGAGTATTCATCGCCACCATCGGATTGAAAAAACTGAATTTTTTCTCCAAATTTACAATCAACCAACTTGTGAAAATGTACAAAACATGAGAAAAAATCATATCTCATTTTTAATGGATAAATCTAGGTGAATCGAGTACAGCAATCAACAAATATGGCATAATATCTCAAATTTCAAGTTTAACAAATAAGAGCCGATCCCCGTAAATGTAAATGGATTTTCATAAATTGTTGCTAACAAAACTCATTTCAGGAGAGAAAGGGCAATCTACATAATTTTGTTATTTGAAAACTCTCACAAAGGAAACTACCAAATTGTTCTTTATTTATAGGACTAAAACTAATAAGAAACCAGAACTACGAAGAAAATATATTGTTTTGAAGTGGCCGATATTCATGACTTTGAAGAACTAAATCTTCATGACTTTGAAGAAGTGGAACAACATCAGTGTAGGAAGGCACTGTGTTAGTTCTATAAATCCAATTCTTTAAAGGGTAGTTTTTGAATTTACTTTTGGGTTTATAATGTAATATTGAAAAAGTCAAGGTGTTAGATGGTATTTAAGCATGTCTTTTATGTATTTGAAGAGGCTATAGAAGTGTCCAAAATATTTGAAGAAGTCTGAAAGGTCTATTCATGCATTGCTACGGGGAAAACCGATAAAATTTGGTTTAATGCTTGGAGGCTGCTGGCCATGGAGTGGGCAAATTCAAAGGTTTTTTGGTTGGAAACAAAGGCATATAAAAGGTTGGACTATTGCTGCCAAAACAATGTGTGTCTATGCAGAAAACAAAGGAAACATCAGAGAGAGAGAGTAAAAATTGAGTTTTCTAGGAAGAAAATTAGCAGGTGTGTCTACTGTGCAGAAGCTCTTTTTGTAAGTTCTTTCATAGCTTACTGTGTGGTTTTTCTTGCATAAAAATTAGATTGGTATGTCCCTTTGTATTGCTTGATATTGTGATCATTTTTTATGAAATATAAAAATGTTTCTTGAGTGAAATTAATGTGGTAGTGTAGCAGATTTTTGTCCTCTGTTTATTTGATTTTATGTTCCTTTGATGATCTATTTTGTTTTCAATTCCCAACAAAGTTGGTATCAGAGTCGATTGTGAAATTTGGATTTCTTTTGTTGAACCAAGGGTTTGCTATGTGTTTGTTATGGCTACTATGAGTAATGTGCTTCAACCCCAATTTTCTAAATTGGGAAAAGATAATTATGGGAATTGGAGTATTCATATTACGGTGTTGTTACAATCACAAGATCTTTGGAAATTGTTGAAAAATGTTACATCAAGGCAACTACGGAGGAAGAGCAAACACTTAGAAGCTCAAAAGATGGTGTTTAAGCAATCAAGGAAGACGGATAAGAAGGCTTTATTCCTACTTTACCAATGTTTTGAAGAATATGCATATAGGCATTGATAAAATAATTCGGGTTCGTCTTCAAATATTGCAAAGTGAATTTGAAGGGTTGCATATGAATGGAGCATAGTCAATTTTGGAGTTTTTTTTCAAGAACTTTGGTGATTGTGAATCAAATGCGAAAGTATAGAGAAGATATTGATGATGTTAAAGTTATGAAAAAAATACTACGAACCTTAACCCCAAAATTTGAGCATGTTGTTGTAGCTATTGAGCCATCCATGGCTTTCAAGACTATGAGTGTTGATGAATTGATGGCGACATTGAAAATACATGAGCAACGTATTGATAAAAAGACTTCAAGTTCTCTTGAACAAGCTCTCCAATCCAAGTTTTCTTTGAAAAATGAAAAAAGAGAATTTCAAGGTAGTATATCTCAAAAAGGAAGAGGTAATAAAACACGAGTTAGAGGTTATAACAATCAAGGAAGGGCTACGAAGGTTGTGAAAGAGGCTATCCTAATAGAGGTGGAGGAGGAAGAGGCCAATTCACTAATGATACAAGAAATCAAAATTCTTATGGTTCAAGGGTTAGAGGACGAGGAAGAGTAAAAAACAATTACAACAATCAAGATTTTGACAAGAGGAATGTTGAATGCTTATATTGTCACAAGTTTGGGCATTAAAGCAATGAGTTTTGGGCAAGTGCAAATAAAGGTGTTGAAGAACATGTGAATTATGCCAAGAAAGCAAGTAATGAAGCGGGTTCTACTTTGTTGCTGGCCTACGATGGATCTGAGGAAGATAATGGCAGTGTGTGATTTCTTGATTCCGAGGCAAGCA